CCGACATTAAAGGACGCGGTTTGGTAGAAACATTGCATGCATTAAGGCATCGAATGTATGTTAAAAATAATAATACATCTCAAATAACAAATTAGATAACAACTAAATAACAAAAAGTAACAACTATAAATCTTGTTGACTTTTTACATTAATGCGGGTTTATAGCCTACGAGATCGAATACACATCTAAACTATACAATTAATGTCATAATATGATATCGGTGTTCCGCTATAAACGAAAGCGCGAACTGGATCTACCTATGGTGAAGTGAAGAATGTGACGAGCCTGTCCGAACTTCTTTCGCTGCAAAAAAATGGGTTTCCATGAATAAAACCGAAGCCCGCAGCGCCGAGTCTGTCTGCTCCACACGTGTGCGCAGCTCTGAATGCACATGAACAGCATATCTCCAGCAGTACTGCTGCTTTCAGGCTGTATGGACCATATAGAGAGGCTGATAGCGCTCGTGTGCTTGCTGTTCGACATTTCGCAAAATCAATAACATATGGCCTTACATTTTTTTTACTACTGTACTGTATAAGAACATGAAACTCTGTTTAAACATTATTTAAAACTCGGATTTAGCAGTGTCAAAAATATATATATTTTGCATCAATATTATATTGTAATAATACCATTATATTCCTTTAAGTACACTGCTTGTGGTTCTCTTATTAAAAATGCAAGAGTCTTAATCCATTTCTGTGTTCTGCATTCTTGGGGAAGGTGGAGGAAGGTGACAGAGCAGAAAGATAGGAATTGGGTTTTCGTTCGAATTATCCTTTTACCCATACTTACACTTATTTATGGCTAAGTAATACAGCTTTGGATCATCAAATCAGGTTTTGGGACGTGTATGCGAGTTGCAGTGCAATTTTCACAGAGCGTGGGGCTTGATAGCTGAAACATATGTTTCCCTAGAGGGGCCGCTTAGACTCCACCATTCTTTTAATTAAAACACCATTATCTCTGAGCGCATGACGAGACGGAGATCTGGTGGAGAGGGGTCACTAATGTCAGTATAATTATGTTTTATGGTCTCGATTTCGATTATTATAAATGAGACGTCTCTTTACTTGAGACTAAACTATATATCAGATAAATAGTCAACGCAAGTGTTTCATTCAAAATCATGAACTGCATTTGTGAAAAAAGCAAAGCATTGAGATCAGTATGCTATTCGTTGTTTGATGACAACAATCTTCTCTTGCTCTGTTTAGACATCATCTGCTTATCTAAACCATGAGACAGCGTGTTTTCAACTCTCAAAATGTAATGATAACTTGTCCAAAATAAATGTAGTTTTATTTATGGAGCAAACATCTTCATGAGGTGCATCATTAAACCTAGAAAAATCAGCCTCTTTTCTCGTGTGGCACTTGCCCAGGTCATTATGAGTCCAGCGGTAACAAACATTTTGGAAGGCCAATAAACAGATGCATGTTGGTTTATGTAGTGAGCCGCAGAACATCTGGCTCAACGCTGGAGCTTGACAGCCAGGCATTTCTCCCAACCACGACCTGTGGGAAGCCAGTGGCCCAACGCTACTGGGGAAAAAACCCTGAAGTGCCAGAGTAAGACTAACCCAGAGTGAGACCAGAGACTTCCTCAACTTTAAAAGGAAGAAAGAAGAAAAAACGGTGTGGGAACAACATGGTAAATGGACTTTCGACCAGACAATTACATAACGCGCTACTAAAGTCTGCAACTATAAGACCTAATCTATCTATCTATCTATCTATCTATCTATCTATCTATCTATCTATCTATCTATCTATCTATTGG